ACTTAAGGACTTAGAAGGCTGTATCTTCCCTACTAGGGTTACACTCCCATGGATGACCTTGAACCACATGATTGTTTTCCATACATGGTCGCCTTGTTTTTCTTAAAACTGTGCTGAACGTCACCCCTTCTCCTTCTGTCCTCAAAGGATCTTGCAGAAGGGGAGACCTTAGTCTTTCTCTCACCCAGTAATATTCCCCAGTGCCTTTCTCAAAGGTGCATCCCCTGTGGATCTGCCATATTTGTAGTCCTACAGCTCACTCTTCCTTTTCTATGTTGCACAGAGCCCAGAAACCACTGAAGTCCTATCCTGTCACCATTCACAGCCACATTGTCCCAGGTCACCACATCACTGCACCTCTTAATTTTCCTGAAACTAGCTACAGTGAACACCAACTCTAACCTTCAGAAATGTCTAGATTAGAAGTGTTTTTTTTTTTTTTGGATCATGTTTCTCCTCACAATGAAGCCTGTCGGAGAACTCTGAACATGTTCTGCTCTGTTCTAATGGTAGCACCTGGGTAGCTTGCTGATTTGCTACACAGCAAGTACCTAGCTGGGAGTGAAAGGCCGGTCTTTTCTTCATTCACATAGTTCCCTTTTGGGGAAGAGAAAAGAAATTCTTCACTTGTGCTTAATCCAGAGAAGGGAAGTAATAACCTTCTTTACCAACAACACTCCTTACAATAACGAGAAGACCTTAAATTCCCTCTCATGTATAACATGTCATGTGTTATTTCTTCAGAAAGCAGGAAACCTTTCAGAAAGACCTGGTCACAGTATGAATATCTGAGTACTTTACTAAATTGTCTTTTTAACACAAGAGAGGGAGAGAGAAAGATTGAGAGTGAGAGAGAAAGAGAGAGAGAGAGAGAGATCAGTGTGAGGTTGGCTAAACAGTTGTCTTTCTCGGCCCATTAAAAATTAGGAATATATCGTTTAGCAATCTTGTTTCTCATGAAACATCAGCCATTTCTAACTTTCTGGGTTTTGTCCTATGACCAGAGAACTTCCTCAGTTCCTAAGACAGATGGAACAGCAGTTGCTTTATCACTTGACTAGATTAATTTACCTAGTCAATTAAAGTTATGTCCTATAAAAATGTGATTTAAAATTGTACCAAAATACATATGATTAATTCTCATCATTCTTCCAGGGAAGCCTTTTTTCTCATGTTAACCTTGGTAGTTAATTTTAAATTGTACATTTGTCCATTCAACCTACATGTAATGCACCTACTCCATGCATAGCACTAGGCTTGGCTGTGGGGATATAAAAATGACCAGACATCCTTTAAAGTTTACATTTTAATTGGGGAAAGAAAGTACACATAGATATACAAATAAATAAATTAAAGGCAGTAGAAAGTAATGGTAAGTGCTAGTAGAGAAAATAATTAGGGTGTGGCACTTTAAATATAGCAGTTGGAGAAGACTTCTCTAAGGGAGATGTTCTAGCTAAGATGAGAAGTGTGAGAAAGAGATAACAAGGGGAAACGTTGACGGAATTGTATTCCAGACAAAGGAGAAACAAACGTTGAGGATTTGGTGTGTGAATAAGCGTGGGATATGTTATTCTAGAAAATGGTAGTGGGCCAGCGTCACCAGTGTTTGTTGATAGAGGGAGAGAATCATGTATGGTTGTAGAGGGAGGCTATGTTTAAGGGTACTGTTTATAGTCACTGTACAGTGAGAAACCATAGAAAGATTTAAGTGTAAAATGAAGTAACCAATTTTTAAAAAGACTTTTCTGATTTCTCAGTACACAATAAATGGTAGAAAGTGAAAGCAGAAAGACAAATTCTACTGCAACTGACAGACAACAGATACTGGTGATTAGGACAAGAGAAACAGAAGTGGAGACAGAGAAATATGGTGTGATGGACTGAGGTGTATTCACACAGAATTCATACGTTGAAATCCAAATGCCCAATATGATGATATTTGAAAATAGGGCCTCTAAGGAGGTAATAGAAGATAAATGAGATAATAAGGGGCTGTCCTTATAGGAAGAGAAAGAAGTACGAGAGCTCTTTCCCCACCATATAAGGACACAGCAAGTTGGTGGCCATGTACATATCAAGAAGAGTGCCCTTATCAGAAACTGACCATGCTGGCACCTTGATCTTGGACATTCCAACCTCCAGAATTGTGAGAACTACATTTCTGTTGTTTAAGCATCCCAGTGTATGATGTCTTGCTATGGCAGTCTGAGCTCACTAAAGACAGATGGATCTATGGAGAATTGTTTAACAGATAGCACTACTAGGACTTACTAATGGATTGCATATGAGTGATGAAACAAAAGGGGAAATCAGTGATGGCTTCTATTTTTACTTTATTTTACTTATTTTTTGGCTTGACTGTATCAGTGAATGGTGGCATCATTTATCAATAATTTTTTAAAAAGTGGAAGAATATAATTGATAGGCTAAAGATGAGTCCAGAGTCTTATTGTGGATATGTCTATTGGGATGTTTCTGAGACAAATAAGAGGAGATGTCAAGTAAATGGTCACGTACCCAAGTTTCAACCTCAGAGGAGAAGGCGGTGCTAAATATAGAGGTCAGTGCTAAAATATAGATATTGAGGTTGTATGGATATTTAAAGATATTTAAAGTAATAGTAACAAATTATAGCACTGAGGGAATGGATAAAGAGAGATAAAAATCAACATTTAAATAGAAATTGAGAGTGAAAATGTATAAATAGTGAAACAGAGGAAGAAAATCTGACACACCCTAGACAAGAGTCTCTAAAAAGCATCAAGGGGAAGTTTGCGATCATCATCAGAGCAGGTTGAGGGGAGCTTAAGAAATAAACAATATTTCCCAATGAGTAGAAAAAAAGAATGAGAATTAAGGCAGGAGAATAGCACACATCACTAAGATATATTTTATATTATTTTGGGGTGAAGGGAAACAAATAAGAGATATGTTGGATGTGGATATCCAACATAGTGAGGGATTTTTTTTTTGTTGTGTTTTATAAAATTTTGTTAACTTGTTTTAGCTATTTGAAAGATTTACATGATACCATAAAAAGTTAACATAATCTAATCATGAGTGGAATAACTGATGTTTCAGGAGAAAATTGAGGGGAATAACCAAAATACTAACATCCTTAAAAAAGAGGGAAGGAGGGCAGAGCCTGTGGCTCAGTGAGTAGGGTGCCAGTCCCATGTATCGAGGGTGGCGGGTTCAAACTTACCCTCAGCCAAACTGCAACAAAAAATAGCCGGGCATTGTGGCGGGTGCCTGTAGTCCCAGAAACTCAGGAGGCTGAGGCAAGAGAATCACCTAAGGCCAGGAGTTGGAGGTTGCTGTGAGGTG